GGTATACACCAACTACTAAAGGCAAATTCTACTATCAAATTCTGCAATCTGAAATTGATCAAACATGCAATTTAAAAAAAAATATTCTTATTTATTTGTAAATTTTGAATACATTGTTTTTCACAAAAGATCCTTCCCATTTCCTTCATACCACCCACCCATTGAATTGTGCAACACTATGAGTAACACCCTACCCCTCCAGCCTCACCCCTCTATTTCCACCCTCCTCCCCCCGCAACCTTGAATCCTCATACTCATTCTACAATAATGGTTTTATACAATATTGTCCTTGTGGGACTGAATAGTTTCCTCAGCATAATGCTTTTCAGTCCCTCCCAAGTTAGGTAGCAATTTACAAAATCATTGCTCCTGCATACTGCATCATATTCCATTGTATGAATGTACCACAGTTTCTCTATTAATTCATTTGTGGCTGGACATCTGAGCTGTTTCCACATTCTTGCAATGATGAATAATGCAATTATTTATGCAACTAAGACACATTAATAATTAGTGACTGGAATCTGAAAGTTAGGAACAAAGAAGAAGGACTGGTGATTGGAAAATAAGGCTTTGGCCACAGAAATGGGACCACATATCTCATGATAAAATTTTGTACAATCAGTGACTTAGTGATAGCAAATACTTAAAAAAATAAACAGCACTTATACAAGTGGATCTCACCTAATGGAATACAATGGAACCCTACTGACAGCCTCTGTGGGTAGAGATAGTGGGAAAGTTCAATGTCAGCAGTCAAAACAAGGCCAGAGGAGGACGGTGGAACATACTACTTATTATTCATACACAAGTTGAAGTCGAAGATGAAGAAAATAATAACGGGTTCACAAGAAACAAAGTATGATCTTGCATTTATCCTTCTTATAGTTAAATAGCATTTCAATAAATTGAATTAGTTGAACACTAACAATTGAAGATCAGACAAATTGTGAGATGGCATCAAAGACATCATCAATGATGGAAGCAAAGGGTCATTGAAAAGACAGGAGAGAAAGAAAAGACCAGCACCACAACAAGATAAAGGCAAATAATCCAATTGAAAAATGGTCACAGGATATGAACAGACACTTCACCAAAGAAGACATTCAGATGGCTACCAAGCACATGAAGAAATGTTCAAAATCCCTGTCATGACAAAAACACCTAATCACACATCCCTTTTAAACCGTTTTCTCCCTCATCTGTTTCAATGCAGTATATATTATTGAACCCATCTTTCTCAGTCTCTCCCCAACCCCAAGGTCAGTCCTGCTTTACAACAGTGGCACCATGCAGTATTTGTCCTTTTATGACTGAGATACTTCCTTCAGCATAATGTCTTCCAGGCTCACCCATTTTGAATATTATTGCATGAGTTCCTTGTTTTTCAATGCAGCGTAGTATTCCATTGTGTGAATATACCACAGCTTCACAATAGCAAGGAGTTAGAAACCACCTAAATGCCCATCAACAAAAGAATGGATAGAGAAGCTGTGGTATATTTCTTAGGTGTTTTTGTCATGACAGGGATCTAGAGTGAAGGCTACATGGTGGGGTGGACCTGGGTGAGGGTATGTAAAACAATGAAAGAATTTTTCTTTTACTTTTTCAAGAGGGTAGTGTCCTAGGGAGGAGGGTTGGGAGGGGGGAAAAGTGCAACAATGAATGAATGGAAATCCAAAATCTCTGTAATTTTTTTTCTCTGTAAATTTTTACTGAAATTAATAATAAATTTAAACTAAAAAAAAGAAACAAAAGACCAACTGGATTTCAGGAAAAAACGCTGAAACTTGCTCTTAACTAAAAAGAAGCTAAAGAAATGGCATAAATGATATAATAAGAGAGATGAACAGAATATTTGTGAAGATCTGGAGCTAGAAAACAGAAAGATAAGAGCTTGCTAAACATTTCCTATATTGTAAGGATTGAAGGGAAAAAAGAAACCAAACCAAACCTGAAGTTCTTCAAGTATTGCTACTAAAGATTTCTATGGGCAAGGAAGCATCAAAGGAAGATAGAAAGAATACACAAAGCAATTCTACCTAAAAGAATTGGTTGACATTGAACCAATCCAGAAAATATCATATGATCAAAAAGTTGTAGTACTGAAGGAAGGAGTTCAAGTTCACTGAAGGTAAGTGGCAACAATTAAACCTCGAGGAATTGACAGAATATTGACTGAAGTGTTGCAGCAAATAGATAACAACACTGGATATGCTCACTAGTCTATGCCAAGAAATCTGGAGGACAACCACCCATTTAAAAAAAAAGTATCTCAAAGAATGCAGCAAGTATTAGAATTTTAATATCACACATGAGTAAAATTTTGCTGAAGCTTATTTAAAAACAGTTGGAGCAGCACATAGATAGGGAACTTTCAGGAATTCAAACTAGATTCAGAAGAGGCTGTGGAATAAGGCATATCATTGCTGATGTGAGATGGCTCTTGGCTGAAAGCAGAAAAGACCAGAAAGATATTACTTATGTTTTACTAACAATGCAAAGGCATTTGATTGTGGACCATAATAAATTATGAATAATATTGAGAAGAATGGGAATCCCATAGCACTTAATTGCACTAATGTGAAAACTGTGCATTGACCAAGAAGTAGTTGTTTGAACAGAAGAAGCAGCCAATATGTGGTTTAAAATCAGGAAAGGTATGTGCCCAGGAGGTGTCTTTTCTCCATACAATCTAATCTGTATGCTGGGCAAATTATCTGAGAAGATGGAGTTCATGAAGATGACTGTGACATCAGGAGTGGAGAAAAAGTCATCAACAACTTATATTATGTAGATGACAATATGCTTGCCTGAAGAAAGCAAACTTGAAGCACTTATTTAAGAAGATCCAAGACTACTGCTTTCAATATGGATTTATACTTCAACATCAAGGAAACAAAAGTCCTCACCACTCAATCAATATGCAACATCATAATAGATGGAGATTAGACTGAAATTGAGTTTAATGATTTCATTTTACTTGGGTCCCCAGTCAACATCATAGTAGCAGCATTCAAGAGATCAAAAGATGTGTTGCATTAGGCAAATCTACTGTCAAGAGCCTCTTGAAAGGGCTGAAGACATTACACTGAGTGAAATATCTCAGTTAAAAGAAGACAAATACTGCATAGTGTCACTGTTGTAAAATGGGACTGACATCAGAGTTGGGGGTAATACATACTGCATTAAAACAGATGAGGGAATATATGATTAAGTATTATTGTCATGACAAGAGTCCAGAATGAAGCCTGCTTAGTGGAGTAGATGTGTGGGGGGGGATTGTATAACAATGAAATAATTTTTTTTTTACTTGTCAAAGAGGAAAGCAAACTGGGGGAAGAGTGGGCAGGGAGGAAAATGTGCAACAATAAATGAATGGAAATAAAGTAAATAAATAAATAATTTTTTTTAAAAAAAGTGCTGAAGAATGAGAATGGCAGTTTAAAGATAGTATCAGTTTAAAGGCGCACCTGATGCAAGCCATGACATTTTTAATTGCTTCATTTGCATATGATAGTTGGACAAAGAATAAGGAAGACCATAGAAGGCTTGATCTCTATGAACTGTGGTGTTGGGAAACAATACTGCAAATGCCATGGACTGTCAAAAGAACAAACATATCTGTCTTGGAGGAAATGCAGCCACAGTATTTCATAGAGGCAAAGATGGTGAAACTTCATTTCACATACTTTGGACATATTATCAGGAGATGACAATCTTTGGGAAAAAGCATCAGAGTGAGAAAAGGAGTGTCAGTAAAAGAGAGGAAGATGCTCAGTAAGATGAATTGGCACAGTGACTGCAAAAGGGGCTTGACCATGATGGAGGCTGAGAAGACGGCGTAAAATAGGGCAAGGTCTCTATCTGTAGTTTATTGGATAACTATCAGTCAAGGTGGATTAAACAACACCTAACAACAACAGCAACTTAACACTTATCATTGCATCATCAGCCTCCTTTAAGTAAATATGGACTGACAAAAAACTACAATTAAAAAAAGTGGTCTTCAGGATAATAATAGAAACATAATAAGCTTAGCAGAAAAGCCCCTCAACCAGATAATTGACACAGTCACTGCAGCAATGGGCTCGAGTGTGTCAGAGGTTGTGAGGATGGCACAGGAGAGGACAGGGTTCAGATATGTTGTTCATAGGGCCGTTATGAGTCTTACTCAACTTGACGGCACCTAGCAATAGTTAAGTATAGAAGAAAATGAAATTTGTTATATAGCAGATGTTCAGTGAATATTGATTAGTATATTTCAGCTTACTAAAATGCTTTCGAATGAATTGTTATACCCAAGTCACTATTATTTTGTCACTTTCAACTTGGTTTTTCATTTAAGAACACATTATGGCTTTTAAGAACATCAAATACAAGTTCTTGTGGGCACCTCTGTGACTGTTGTTTAAATAATACAGATGTTTCAAGTCCTGGACGAAGGCCAAAAGCTTCATCAATACAATTCGGCCCAAACAAGATGCAGTAAAAACCAGTTTTCTCTCATTTTTAATGTAACAAAATAGATGCGTGTCTTCCAAGTTCGTTGTAACCAATTCACTTCTTTGCCATCTTGCTGCATGATCTTGTCACTTAGATTAAGTGCATACCATGTGCCAACTTTTCTGACAGCCAAGAGATTAGTAAAACAGAGATTTTGGTGCAAAGGAATACAAGGCTGGTGAAGAGGGCAGATAGGGACATGAAAAATCACACAAAGTGACAGAGCCACACTGGAAGTATAAGCAGCAAGCACATTCTTTACACCTGACCTTGTTACCTGTCATGGGGTTCACAAAGCAGCCTTGGGGCTCCCTATGCTGTGTGTGCTTATTATCATTCTCCTTCTATATTTTCAAATGAGCCATGCATTTCTGTATGACTATCTTACACCTGAGTGGACTTTCCCCTCTGTGTTAATGTATTCTTGCCAAGAGTTCTGGTCCTGCTCACCTCTGCAGAGGAGACTCTGGCACAAGTGTGTTTCTCTTTTTCAGCCCTCAACGGATTCCTTTTTGGAAATTTCCCTGAGCCCGAAATGTGCGTTGGTGAATCAGTATCCTGGCACCTGTTTGGAATGGGGAACGAGATAGACATCCATTCCATCTATTTTTATGGCAATACCTTCATCAGCAGAGGACACCGGACTGATGTCGTCAACCTGTTTCCAGCCACCTTCCTGACTTTGGAAATGATAGTTGAGAATCCTGGGAAGTGGATGATAACCTGCCAAGTCAGTGACCACTTACAAGGTAATAGGGCAAAGAGCAGATGTGGAAATGCTTGCAGTGTTACAATTAAAACATCATTTGTTGGGGGACTTAAAGGCAGATATTAACTATAAAATATGTGGGAAAAGGTGTAATGCTTATTTACTTGGCATTTCATCAATTAGTACTTACTGGTCACCTCTTCATGAGCAAGGTGATGGAAAGAAATCAGTAGACCATGAAGGATCATGTGACTTAGCAATTAGATACAAAGTAAGTCCAAGTTGAGGTGTACTGTCAGACTGCACTAAGTTCTATTTTGAAGTTACCCCCACTTCTCTGGGAAGTCGTTTGTGAGGGCCCTGACTCCTGCTCTGAGCCTTGGAGTGTGGGTAGACGTTAAACGAATAAAGGAAGGAAAGAAGGCTTTCTAAAGAACGAATAAAGGAAAGTGCAACATGAACTGGGGAAAACACATGCTCTGTTTAAGAAAAAGTAAGTAGAATGGTGAATTTTTAGCACTGGCCTTTATAGATAATTTAGATCAATTCCCCCATCCAACTCCTGAATTCTCTTTGAACATCTCTTTTGAGTAATTGTAACATTTTATCTCCACAGTATTATGTTAGGAAGTTCTCCTCTATCTTGAGATAAAAATCCATTGACTTGGGAGGAGAATCCATTGACTCATGGGGGGATATCCATGGACTTGGGGGAGGAATCCATTGACTTGTAGGGGGGATCCATTGACTTATATCTTTCTTCATGGCCTATAGTTGCTGTTACTGCTTTTGTTGTTAGCTGCCATTGAATTTGTCCTGATTTTTAGCAGGTGAACAATAAACATTTATTAAATTAGATTCCTGCTGAATGATTTTGCTTTGCTTCCATGGGACCAAATAGAAAATGTGTTTATTTAGCTGGAATTCAAGTTCGTAGGTGGAATCTCTATACAATGCAAATGGCTAAGACACTTGGCTGCCAACCAAAAGGTTGGTAGTGTGAGTCCTCCTAGAGGCATCTTGAAAGGAAGACCTGGCATCTACTTAAAAAAAAATAATAACCAGTTCTTGAATATCTTAAGAAACACAGTTCAACCTGACACTTAGGCTATCACCATTAGTCAGAAGAGAGCCTGTCTCACCCACCTTTATCTTTGCAAATTAGTATCAAGTACATCTTAAATGTTTGGCGAGAGTTCCATTTAATTGGAATAATTCAGTTAATTGATGCAAAGGTGAGCTGTTTAAACTTGACAGGAACAAGAATGTCTTATCTAAGGAGCTCAGAATAGTTGGATTCTAGCACCTCTTAGAATGTGTGTGTTTTCAGTCAGTCTCCAAACACATATCCCCTTTTAGAAACTGTTAGTTTTTCACCCATAGTGTTTGGGCATACCCTTTTTGATTTGTCTACCAACACTGAGAATTATCAGTCTTTCTAATCTTTACCAATTGGTTTAATCAGGGTTAAACTTTTTTAAATTGTTCATTGACCAAATCTATTGTGTGAATAATTCATCTAAAGTATTTGTGCTGTAGTAAATGTCTATAGTAAATTGCTGTTGTTGTGAGTTACCACCAAGCCACCCACAACTCACAGCAATCCTGTGAACACAGATCTAAACCTTCTTCTGCCCAGCACCATCCTCATCATCTCTAATAGGCTCCAACTCACTGTTTCAGTCACTGTGTCCACCCATCTTGTTGACGGTCTTCCTCTCTCTGATCTTCCGTCTCTCCCAGCGTGATGTCCTTTTCCAAGGACTGGCCCCTTCTGATAATAAGCCCAAAGTATGTGAGCTCAAATGTCACCATCCTTATTTAAGGAGAGCCTTAGTGTACTTCCTCCAGGAAAGACTTGTTTGTTCTTTTGATAGCTCATGGGATATTCAATACTCTTCTTCAATATCACAACTCAAAGGCATTGATTCTTCTTCTGTCATCCTTATTAAGTGTCCAATTTTAAGATGCATAGCAGGTAATTGAAAAGACCATGACTTAGATAAGGCACACCTTAATCTTTAAATTGACATCTTTGCTCCTTAGCACTATATGGAGGTCCTTGATAGCAGATTTTCCCAAATGCAATATATCTTTTGATTTCTTGACAGATATCCTGTGTATTGATTGTGGATTCAAGTAAAATTAAATCATTGACAACTTAAATCTTTTCTTTATCTATCACAATGTTGTATATTGATCCAGTGTTTAAGATTTTTATTTTCTTTTTTTAAAAATTAATTTATTTACTTTTCATTTCAATGAACATCTACAGAGATTTTGGAATTCCAT